GTGTGTGTGTGTGTGTGTGTGTGTGTGTGTGTGTGTGTGTGTGTGTGTGTGTGTGTGTGTGTGTGTGTGTGGGAGAGAGAGAGAGAGAATGGGTGAATAAGACATGCTGGATAAAGCATTTTGAGTCCCCAAGTAGAGTAGAGAAACGCTATATAATAACCACAATTTCCAATATATAAAGTGTCTGGAGATGATTTAATCAGTTTGGATGATGCAAGGTGATACCTATCATTAATCCTCTTTCTTCTGCCTTCATTCTAATCTTAGATGCCATGAAGTCAGAAGACAGGCAGAAGCTTGCAAAAGAGCGGCGAGAGGAGAAAGCGAAATATCTAGGTAAGTAAAAACCAGGGGTGGGAGGCCATTTCTTTTAAATGGATAGAGAGCTCCACCTGGTGTTAGGGTGGAGGAGGTTGTTAGCAGTTGATTGGCTACTGGGTTGGCTTTAGGCTGCAAAAGGCATGCTCAACATTATACACACAGACACTTGGAGAGGATAAAAAGGTAGTTTGGACTTCTACAGAAAATGGGCCAAAATCAGTAAAAGCCAAGCCACCATTTTACCAGAGACAAGTGAGCATCTGTTTTCTGCATGCATGCTGAAACAGTCTTGAGCACTATCAAGACGCTTATTTATTGTTTTTGTATGAACAAAATCATTGCTTTAGCTCAACTGATACACATTACATTGTTCAAAAATGCTGCACGAATGACAAAAACGTACACGTTGATGGGGCTGAATATTTTATAACTTTTATAACTTATGACGAGTTGTGAAAGCCGAGAAAGTGCCCCAACTTACACTGATGCATTTTCAAGAAATGTCACAGCTCTCTCAGCACCTATGAGTTGTCTCTCTTTTTGTTTAACACGTGGCTCTCACATTATCACTTGCCTACTTGCCATGCACTGCTTTGCATGATTGACAGCTGCCTCTATCTTTTCTCTCACCCTTTACTCCTGCAGAAGAGCTCAGCAAGTTGCAAGGTAAGCCACTCACCTGTGTTTTTGTGGTGGTGGTGGTGGTGGTGCCAATGAATACCCTTTTTGATCATTCAGTTTCAGCTTAATAAAGTTCAGTAGTAAAAGCTAGAGCTGGGGAATGCACCAAAAGCTCAATGATCCTGCCTATAAAGAGAAGCAGCATGTAGAATAATGACTACTGTTTCAGTAATAGTGTAACAAAAATAAAGCTTTTTTGTAAATTTTAAAGCATAATTACACTTTTTAAAAAATATATATATATCAAGTTAAGTGCTGCAAAGACAAAACTTGCATATTGACTTTTGGTAATAAAACCCAGCCCTAGAGCCTTTTCATTTATTTAATCCCCATAATGTTTCTTGTTTTAATCCTCCTCTTTTCCTGTGACAAAAATTTAAAATTTCACCCTCCCTTTCTCTGAACATCATAAATATGACTTAAACAAAAATCATGTACTCACTAAACCATCATTTATGTGTGAAAACCCTGTTACTTAACAGGAAGTTGTGGGTGACGAGAAGCCCACCCTTACACTGACTGTTGTTTATCCACGTTCTAACAGCAGTCACCACAAAACTCTTTGGATTTAAAAAAAAATGTACAAACACCAAGCCACAAAACCACCATGATAATCATCTTACTGGATGAATTGATGGTTTGCTGCCGAATTTATCTTGGCTGTGAAATTATATATCAACAACTTTATGTTGCCAAACAGGACCAAAAAAGTTCAAAATGTTCTTAAAAGGGAAAATATGTAAAGTAGTGTTCAGATACTGAGCCGAGTTGTATATCACCCAGCCTGTACGCACCGCGATACTTGCGTGAAAGTCACACAACGCAGTTCTTTTTTTAAAGCTAGTTGTTGTCACACTCGTACTTTCTGTAAAGCTTTGCTGTCTAATCCAAATTTGTGTTGGATGGCAGTAAGATGAGGTCAGCAGACTTCATACTGTGGATCAGTCTAATTGGGTGATCACTGTGGTACGCCAGATGGTAGGGGTCTGATCTAATACTCTCAGCCAGCTTGGGATAAAAGATGCGATCTTGCCAAAGCTTGTGTTTACAATATCAGCTTAAGGGATCTTATATCGCCAGAACCATTTCTAGTAGCAGAGGTATAAGTAGAAAAAAAATCTACATATACGAGCTCATCTGCTATTGGATTTGTTCTGTTATAGTTGCATAGATAGATGCTACTCTCATACCCTGTCCATCTTTGGTGAGGAGGTATAAATACTTAATGTACCAGGGTTAGCGCAGCCCTTTGGCAATGACTATTTAATGGCCATACTGTAGCAGGTCTAGATGCTGCTTGTCAGCGCTGATCACTGTCAGGAGAGAGTTGAGGAATGTCAGTGTCACTCTGGTACACTGTAACCGTCAAGACCCCAGCCAGTATCCAGCTCATTTCCTCCTGCAACCCACACCTATATTCTGAAGAACCATTGCAACTGTGAGAGAATCAAATTTAAAAACGTAATCATCAAATGTCACAGACCTGACTTGCATGGAAAGAGTGGAAACACTTGTGTGACCTAAAGGTTTCCCTTCTGAGAAGGGAGGAAAAACTGGATGTGGAAAACTGCATTTGTAGGCGCTGGGATCTATTTCCTCCCCCTACTCGTCTCATCACTGCACAATAGGTGAATTATAAAACAGTTTCCACTGTGCTCTACTTAAAGTTCCCTAAAGCTTTAAGTCCGTGGAAGGTAAAGTTAAGGTACGTCTCAAATCGGGGCCATCGAACTCTGATATATACACTGCAGCAGTTAGAAGTGTTTTCTGCAAGATGCTGACATGCAGGGCCTCAGTATAACTTTTATAAATTTCAGATCCCCTAGCCTCCAGTGCCTCTGCAATTATCCATCACTCTAGTCTGAAATCCACTATCAGTTGATTTTGGTGCATCAAGTGCTTCAGGGCGCAAAGCTTTACTTCTTTGAAAAGCCGATTGTTTGTGGAGGTTTGTAGTTTAAAGAAGTACGAAGAGTTGTGTACACAGAGGCAGCTGCAAAAGCCTCCTTCACGCTGTTTTTGAATGGCTCTCTGACAAAGAGGTGATTTCCATATCAAAGTGTGTGGTTTACTGAAGCTGAAGTGTAAGCTGTATGCGATTACGATGACATAAAAATGTCAGTTCAGAAGTCCCGCATCCATCTAATTTGGTTTTATGCAGTATTGAATTTATTTTTTCCAAACTCAAAAAGAGGTCTGATGTGAAGAGCAACATTTCTTTTTCAAAAACTGCTTTATGTAATGTAAAACATCAGAGTCGCTTGATTTTGGGATTGCTTCAATGTTGGGATTATTGTTTTTTTTTCTCCCAACATGCCAAGTAGTGACTCTCAAAGAGAGTAGAATTGGGGTGTTATATATTATTCTGATCGAACAGTGGAGGGAGACAGGACTTTACTTTTTCAGCACTCAACTGGAAAATATCTTCTCTCCTGACTATATTATCTGCCTTCTCTTAGCGGCCAAAAAGACCCAGTGGCTGGAGAAGGAGGAAAAGGCGCGGCAGCTCAGGGAGCAACAGCTGGAGGAACGACGCAGGAAGCTCGAGGAGCAGCGGATCAAGGCGGAAAAGCGGCGAACGGCCTTGGAGGAGAGACAAAAACAGAAACTAGAGAAAAACAAAGTATGTTTGGAAAAGCAATACATGTAATGTGATGCTTCAGTACCTTTGAAAATGATGACTGCTAGATTTTAAGGTGAAATTTCAATGCACACTGTCTGTGGGAGAGCACCTGAACTAGGTCAGCTGCTAGTTTCAATTTAGGGATTTAGGATTTTCGTCAGGGACTCATCAGCTTCACAGGATTCAGGCTGCTCAGTTCACAGACATACATGCCATCCCTCCATATAGACTTAAAATGAATCCACATGCTAAAGACTGATATCTGTTCTGGTATCTGTTTCAGGAACGGTATCAGGCGGCCATCAACAGGTCAACAAAGAAGACGTGGGCAGAAATCCGACAGCAGAGATGGTCGTGGGCTGGTGCACTAAGCCAGAACTCAAGCCAGAAAGAGGGTGAGTATACTGGTGCCTCCTAGATAATGTAGTTTTTCTGAGGAGAAAATTATTTTGCCTCAGTATTACTTATATCAGTTATACTTGGATCTGTTTTTTTTAATGGGACTTTCATGTTTCAGCTATAGCAACTTTGCATGATCATTGTTCAAAATGGTCCCTGTTAACCTTTGTTTGTTTCATTTGCTGTTTGAAACAAACTATTTGAAGTCTTTTTCTCTTCCTTTTTAGTCAACTTTGTTCTGATTGGCTGCCTCTTATAGACAGAAGATGGGAAAAGCAGCTGGGTTTGTCATCTACGCTCACACTCAGAACCGTGTGTCTGAGATGGCCTTATTAAAGATATCTGTGGTCAATGACATCATTCATAGCAAAGAGTAGCAGAAAAGCTGTATGAAATTAAGAGTTTAAAGCAGCCTGAAGTCTGGGCTGTTGGCTGATCCCATTTCAAACTTTGGCCAACATTATGTAGATGACAAAATAAAGAAACAGATAACAGACCTGCTTTAATGATGCAGTTTAAAATAATTGCACATCAAATTCTCCTTCGCTTTCTCTTTTTTTCTGCTAAAGTTGGTCATTTGGCCTGTAAAATATTACAGCTGTTATAGTTTTCCAATTCGCGTGGTGGTCAATTTTACATTGGCATACATTCTCTTGATGGAGCAGACATCAATATTTGTTTGATGGATTTAACACCAAACAAATATTTGATAGTATGAAACCATATCGCTAACACCGCCAAAGCATTTAGATGTGCTGCAGTATAAAATTGGTGCATTATCACCTTGTTCAGATGATACACCAAAACAAATTTTATTGCCTGCTTCTTATTCCCAGCAGTAATCAATAGCTTAGACATTTGCAGTGTTATGACAGGCAGATGATGCCAGCAGTACTCTGTTATATTTTAAACTGGATATGTCTTTACTACATCAGTCACGCTTTTCCTCCTTGAACGCATTTCTGTCAGTACACACTGTTTTGCCTCTTGAACACACTGTTACACGGCTCTTAGCCACTGATCGCGACCAGACTGTATTGATTGCACAAAGTGTATGTGTGTTGCAGTAAGTAGCACGGAACCGCTGACTAGCTACAAGATTCAATTTGTTGTATGCAGTTGCTTAATTTGGGGCTAATAAGTGTCTTGACAGTCCAACAGCCAATTAGATCAGAGCCTTGGTGGTACGCTTTGATGAATGCTTCTGTACCGTGAGCTCCTGTGAACATGAAGTGTCCCATGTTCCATCTCATGCCATGTAATCGCTTCAGCCATATGCCAGGGGAATTATGGACACTCAAACCAATCTCCTTTTCCTCCCTCACTCACCAGCCTGCTGTCGGTCAGATGATGGGAGTAAACAAGTGTAAATAGGCGCCAGTGGAACATTTGAGAGCTCTAGATGTTTGTTTGTTTTTGTCCTTTGGAAATGCTCAGATGTATACATCTTAGCCTCAATCAAAGAGCATACTGCATCATGTGCTGGATTTGTGTGTTTAAACCCACAGTCATGCTCGGCCGACTTTAATGCTGCACCTCCGTGACCACTAAATTGTCCAAGTCATTTGGAGAAAGAGAAGGTTATCCATCGATTGGACTGTGTTTAAGGGATATGAAATTGGGACAGATACAAGTATTGCACATGGATGGTTGCTCTTTTGAAGCGCCAGTTTACGTCAGCAGCTTTGAAATTAGTTTACATTTCCCTGTAGCCACTTCCCATCACATGTTTCCTTGTCAGGGTTGTATTTAATGTGCCATTCTTTTCACTGGGTTTTTTTTTTTACTGGCCTGAAGAGGTGGCTTTTAAAGGTTCCTTCTATATTTGACTTGCAATAGTAGATAAATGCAGATATTGCCTTAGTTAGTTAATGTAGCTATGAGAGTTGTTTGCACTAGATTATATAAATTGAGGCTGAGTGCTTATAAGTTGTATCAAATTTAGTTTATGTGTTCTTAACACCTGAAGATTAACATAACTTTTTAAACAGAAGTCATGTCCAGGTTACGTTGAAGAATGCACAAACATCACTGGTGGTAGTTTTACTGGAGTTACTTGCTCACCAACAAAATTGTGCTGATAGAAACTGTGCAGAGGAAGTGGTACAGAGTTATTTGGAAAAGAAACAAGAAGAAGCAAAACAAAAATAATATTTCTTTCACTTCCACTTTATTGAGCTGGCAGAAACAATATCTGATTGTAAGAGTAATAATACTGTGCTACAGTACAGTTAGAGTTTGGTTATGTGACACTTTGTTAGGAGTATCCACAAAGAAATATCATTCTTTAAATGCATGTTTTGTGCCACGGGTGGTCTGTCTGTACACTTGAAGGCTTGCAGAGGTGAACAGATCTCTTCCCGTGTGCATGTTTACAATCAACGGTCAGCACACAAGAATAGCCTTGGATTGGGTTGGATTACACTTGGTGTCGTTGCCTTTACAGTGAGTGGGTATAAATTTGTAAAGGCATCACCTCAGCATAGCCCATGACGTCACACAAGCTCCACATCTTCTTCTCAAACCATGTGACCTGTGTGAACATCTGTGTGGCGCTCTCTTGGCTTCTTAGGCAGATGCTCTGTTTCAACGGTCAACCTGCCCAAACACGTGGACTCTGTTATAAACAAGCGACTCTCCAAGTCCTCCGCCACGCTCTGGAACTCGCCCAACAGAAGTAAGGCTACATCTGGAATGCCCCGCTCCTGTTTTAAATGTCCATCATTCTGACACTGCCAGCACTACCGAACCCGTCCATCATTGTCTTTTTTCAGTTACTTCTTCCCCTTTGATTTCAATCCTCTTCTTGCTTGATGGTTGATATTTGACCCATTTCCATCTTCCAAAAATCACAAGTTTTTTTTTTTTTCATTCCAAACTTTGGGTTGTGGTTTTGTTTGACATGCTCTGCATGCTCATATTTTGATATGGGAGTATTCCTAGTGGCGTTTTACTGTCCTTTGGTTGGTTAATTGTGTGGTGATGGCCTTTTCATTCCTGATGTGCCCAGTCCTTTTGTGTCCATTTGTCACCATAACGTACTGAATCACAGCCGTCTTTTTGTCTTAAATGTTTTTATTGATTTAATTGGTTTTTGTTGATTTCTTTAAATCGAGTTTGTGTCTCCAAGCTTAAGATGAGTATAGCTTTTTATAGCTCTACAGTTAACAAGGCCACTGCATACTTCTACACAGTCAGAGAAGAAAGTTAGTCAGTGAGTCAGCATTTTCTTAATGTATTCTCCTCGGAGCAGGTACTGTTCCTCTGTACTGGTAGAAAAAAAATCGACGGGTAACTTCCTCACTTGTCTTTTTTCCCCGTCACAGTTAAAACTCCCAAACCTTACTCCTTCTACATCTTACACCCAAATGAGACGCACGATTCTGCTTCTTCTCCGTTTGTGCACAAGGCTGTCTACAAAAGAATTACCAATAACCCCTCTTCTCCTCGGTCATACCCATGCAGGTCAAGGTTACAGTGGACACATATACTGGCCTATTTTTCTTCTTTAAGTGGTACTGGTGTTTTATTGGTTTATTGTATGGTTCTTCTGGATTGCAGATGCAGTTCTACACTACACTTCTACACTTTACATTTGGTGTTGGGTGAGGAGTAACATTTCCCGTTTAACCATGAATGTGAGCTGAGATATAACAAAGCTTCCTCTGGTTCACGGCATCCCATTATCATGTATCTTTGGAGATAATTGAATAATTTTATTTTTCCTTCTTGCAGCGCGCAGCCTTGCGTTGAGTCCGTGGGAGAGCAGCATAGTCGACCGGCTGATGACACCAACTCTTTCTTTCCTCGCCCGGAGCCGCAGTGCTGCTAGTGTCCTCACAAATGGAAAAGACGGTCGTAAGTTTTCTTCTTTTTTTAGAAGCCTCAAATGAGTTGTTGCCGTCAGTGTGAATTTAGTGAATACTATTAGTATATAAATGTTGGCAAGGCTTAATTATTTGTTGCTCTGTTCTTTAGACTCTCCTCTCTGCCCTCGTTCAGCCTCAGCAAGTCCGTTGACCCTGTGTGGCCATCAGCCGCACCACCGCTGCTCTGACCGCTGGAGGGTGACGTCCAGCTCACCAGATATCACCCAGCGTCAACGCAGGCGGAGCTCCACACCTGTAAGTCTGCATAATTACCTATATGACATTATTATATAATCTATATGCCGTTACCAATCTGCTTCTTTTTGCTTTGCATGTTGATATTTTCCATCTTTATACAGATGGATAAAAACAAGAAGGAAAAGAAAGACAAAGAAAGGGAGAATGAAATGGAAAAAAGTGCCATCACTAAAGAAAAAGTGCTGAAGAAGAGACAGTCTCTACCTAGTATGAGACATAGACCTGATCCAAGGTAAAACACTTAACAGATTTAATATTGGCTTGAATATTTCCCCACTATCAGTACTGTGAGTTATATATATTTTATGGCTGCAGTGCAACATTTTTATTCCATTTAGTTACAAAATGTCAAAAGAATATCAACAAGTTTTGAGTCGAACAGAGAAATTTAAGCTTTTCACATTTTAGTCAGATATCAGCTCACAGATCAATCTTCTGTTAGTAAATCATCTAATCATCTAACTGGTGCTATCAATAACGTATGATGAAGAATAATCCAGTGACATTACAAAAACGAAAGACAAAATGAAGCTAACAATAAAGACTCAACAGACTGTATAGCATACCTATATAGAAATCAGTGAGGGGATAGCATGCTAGCATGCAACTTATTTACAGTAGAGTTTTCTTGGATAGTCAGCATATCAGCAACAGTCTCGAGTTAAGCATATTTGGTGGCCAATTTCATATATTCTTATTCTTATTTATTTTATCGGTGGATTAAAATATTCACCATATATACTACTAAAGTTCAGATGTTGCTAACCAGTTAATCCAGGCCCTGGACCATGTAGTGCATGCGTGGAAGCATCCACATTTGGCACATATACACAAAAATAAATCACAGAAACCTGAGTTCAATGCTAAACATTTTCAATAAATGTCTGGCCTCTGGGAAACCTAGCAAAAAGCTCCAACCCCCATGTAAAGTCAAAATGTCAAAGCTACCATCTCAGTTTAAAGTTTACATTATTCCATAACCTTAGAACCAGTTAAGAAATCTAAGTTATAATAACGCACCCTTTTTACTCTTTTAAATACGCAGAAACAAAAACTGCATTGTAAACCAGATTAGCCTTGGATGCACCTGACCTGCAGCCTGTTTCTGGTCAATGACTGGGTTTGTTTTGGTCTGTGCTGCAAAGACTTCATATTTCATGCATTGCTTGAGCATATGCATTGAGTGAATACCCAAGAATTTACCCTCTAATCCCCTGGTCCCAGAATAAATGACATCCATGACAGAAGGGATAGAAAAGAAGAAAAAAAAAATCAATTTCTTTTGACTCAACAAAAAGGCAGCAAAGAGCTTGGCAGAGCAGTCAGCGCCAGAGGCTCAAGGGGGGAAAAAATCTTCAGCATAATGGATGTTGTTCCTCCAAGTGCTGCATTGCTGGGATGCTAACTGATAATGCACTATCAGGCATGATGCAATGTTTGAGTGCTTTGACTGCTGAGATCCTGTGCCGATGTCAGAGTTTCTTAAAGACATGTGCCATTTTAAGCATTTCAGGCCAGGTCTAAATATATAATGTGGTACGAGAGAACAACGCTGAGAACTGTTGACACAATTTTCCATCCTTCAGCTTTTGTTTTTACTTTTTTCCAGTCCTAGTCCTTTATCAAGACAACGGCCAGCGTCCCCTGCCACACCCAAGGGCAGAACTGCCTCTCCCAGCCCTGCTGCCTCCCCCAAGCCTCCGTCAGCACGCGGAAGCCCGTCGACCCCAAAGGCCCGGCCCAAAAGAGCCAGGACCCCTGCCAGGATAGACCACCGGACCTCTTCACCTGCCCCTCTTGAGAGAGTGAGACAGCCCCATAGGCTAGCCACCCCAGAAGAGAAAAAGAGTGAGTACAAAAAAGAGTGATAATCATGTCCTTCAGACTGGACTATAATTAATTTCAAATCAATTCAATCAAATCAAGCAGTTAGTGAAATGAATTGTCCAAAGTGAGTTTGGATGGTTATCTCTGTCTCTCTGTGTTAGCCCTGTGGCAGACTGGTGACATAGTTCAATTATGAACAGCTTCTCTCTATTTTTATTGTCTTCCCAAAGAGATTCCCTCTGCCTGTGACTGAACAGAAAAACACATGTAGTGAAATTGAAACAGTGGTCAAAGATTACCGTCAAGCGTAATTAGTCATGGAAATAAAGGGCGCACACTGAATGAGCCACACAGAGATCGTGGTCGGGGTCTTCTCTCGCACAAAGCTAAGAGGCTGTGCTAATCAGTCTTAAATATATAATTACTGCATTTGTAGGGTGAATGGCTGTGGTTGTTTACAGTTTAATAATAATTAACGGGCATCTCTTTATGAAAGCAAATACATTTCTGTGACTCTCCGCTTACAATACTGTTATTTCTTTTAGGTTCCCCTGTGGCTCCTGCCATTGTTGTATCCTCAGCTACTGCCAATGCATCAGGCACACCAGTCACAGCCAGCGCCATTTCCTCCTTGCCCGAGCCAGCCAATTCCTCTCCCTCTGTGCGTGCAGTGTCACCTGCACCCTCTCCATCCGCTAAGCCCATGGCAGGCACGAATGACCCAGAAGAGGCGGCTCGTATTCTGGCAGAGAAACGCCGACAGGCCCGAGAGCAGAGGGAGAGGGAAGAGCAGGAACGCCGCGAACAGGAAGAGAAAGAGAGGTCAGCTGGTTTTTAAAACGCATGCAAAGACAAAACGGTGACTATGCAACTCCTGTAAGCTGTGGGAAGTTTTTGAACTATGTAATATTCTCCTTTTCTTGTCAGCTATGCCAAAACCTGTACAAAAGGTTATAAGTGGGAATAAATATAAAAAAATACTTGGGCAAAAAAAACATTTTGCATATCATTGTGAGGAAGAAGCTGTAGATATAGAGTAGTAGTTGTTTATGCAGCAGAATAAACCCACTCTGGACATTTAGCTATTTTCTGGGCAAATTCTGTGTAAATGGTTACATGTAAGGCAAATCATGAAGGGCTGGATGGACTATCCAAGCATATTCAAGATGAATGACTCTGCATTATCTCCAGATGTGTAACCATTTTTGATTTTGACCACAGCAAGTAACTATTTACTCCCTGGAAACTGATTTGATCTTTTTTCGGCACTCTTAATTCCAATTGTTTCCTTTCTCGTTCACACTGCTTACACTACGAGTAAATCAATTTAAATTGTTTATGACATTCGGAGCATTTGGCAGACGACTTTGTAGATAAAATGTCTTTGAAAAAGAGATTTTAATCTCAAGAGACTTTATGGTTAACTAAAAAAATAATCTTATCTCAACCTTGTATTCAAACACTTCAGGATCCTGAGAGAGGAACGCTTAGCGAGGGAAGCAGAGGAGAGACAACGCAGGGAGGAGGAGGCACGGGCCATGGCTGAGGAGCAGAGGAAGAGGGATGAAGCGAAGAGGCTGCAAGAGGAGAAGGAGGCTCAGGAAAGGGCCAAAGCTGAGCATGAGGAGAATTTACGGCTGCAGAAACAGGTATGCTGTCAACCTGCCCCTGGTTTCCAGAAGAGTATCAAGTGTATTTAAAGGAGTCTTGTAGTCACTCATCAGGTCTGGTTAGTTAGACGAGCATAAAACAGGACAACAGTCATAACTAGCTGATAACTCACTGTATTGCCACATCATTCCACTCTTTCCACCATGCCAAAACGTACACGGAAAACAATGAGACCCTTTCAGGTGCTGCTCACATTGACCTTGTCTGATATCATGTTCATCCTACAAACCCAGTCACCTATTTTGGGATGTTGTTGTCTTTTAAAGGTAAATATTAATCTGATCTGGTGAACATGGAGCGACACTGAATGTGGCCCCTTTAACCTTTCAGTCTGCCAGATAATCCACCCGAACAGTATTGATTCTTCTTGTGTTTGCGGAAGTGGTTGTTGAGAACCAGATGACAATGAAGCTTGATAAGCAGAAAACAGAATGTGGCCATTCATCAGAGTGATCGATTATTCTGGGGTCGTGATTAATTGTGTCACTGCAGTATGTACGTTGCTATCAGATCAGGGCGCTTTGTCTCCCCCTTGTGGTTTGTCACAGAAGTGGCATTTGTGGTCAAACACGTTTCAGTAGAATTATGCAAAGACTTAAGTGTTGTCTTTCACTTTGAATCGCCCCCATGAAGCTGTAAATGTTGAAAATAGATCCTTTTGGCTCAAAGGTACAGAAAAATATCCCTTTTGTGGTCGTAGACAATAATTGCAGGGAGCAACCACACCCTTGTTACGTAAAAGGCATGTTATTTTGGCTGATGTTTTTTCCCTCTTCTGCTGCCATTAAAGTTGTGGTTGGATTTTTGCTTGTGTGTGTTTCAGAAAGAGGAGGCTGAGGCTAGAGCTCGGGAGGAGGCGGAGAAGCAGCGCCTGGAGAGGGAGAAACACTTCCAGAAGGAGGAGCAGGAGAGGCTGGAGAGGAAAAAGGTAGGGCCATACATCTGTCCTGCCAATGTTGTTTCTTTCAGCCAAGTAACTGAATTCCAAAAAGGAAATGGATATTTATGGGTTGTAAAGGATCATAAATGCAAAAATATCCCAGCTTGGATTTTTTTTTTTTTAAAGTCCAAAGTTGTTGTTTTTTCTAACTGTCCTGTAGTGCCGTTTATCTATTTTTGGTGGGAGCTGGATTGTGTAGTAGATTGTAAAAATGTCTGTCTTCTTTTGAATATAACTGAACTAAATAACACTCGTGCTTGGTGCTCAATATATGCAATACATGTGAGAAACTCAGAAGTGATTGTCTCTTTACAGCAATCATGACAAAGTGGCTAATAAATAAATAAATCAACTTGTGAGTAGTTTCACGTAGCTCCACTGAGATATCATTCTGCAGAAGAAAGTGTCCATGTGCCTATGATAACAGTCTCATGCTAGTGGCAGCAAGACCAGATGAAAACATTAACGGTGTCCATGCTCAGCTGTGCTGCATGTTTGGTTTCCTTCCAAATGCAGACAATGAAAAGAAGTTGAAATTGCTCACAACAATGTTTAAAAGTCATTATTTCTGGAAGGAGACATTGCTACTGAGTTTTTAAAACGCATTTGTTGGCACTTTGAAAACCTCAAGGCATGTGCCATCGTTTTCCTTTATATTGATGACAAGACATAACAATCTGAATGCATCAGTAGCATTACATGCAAGTACATTCGATTTGGAGTTGAACTTTTCCTTTCGAAATACAGCATCTCCAAACAGTGGCTGATTTAAAAGAGGAAAATGTTCTCTTGCACGATACAGAGTAATGCCAAAATCAATTTTGTAGTCGGTTTACAAAAGCTCTCCTCCCCCGGTGGTGGTATATTCCAAGATACATTCATCCTGAGGTCGGCCCTTTTTACATGACAAACGCAGGCTTGAAAGTTGAATCCCTGAAACAAGATGAATGATGTTTTTGGCTTGTCCTGGATCGGCTGTCTGCATGCCATGATTTAATAGGGCTTACAATGTGAATGAGCATTAAGCTATATATAACACTAATAACAGCGAGCTAGCTGTGTCAGTCATCTGTGTGTGGATCCTTTCTCATGTGTACTGATACCTGGGCCTTTGGTGAACATATATTCAAGTATATCACACACATAAGATCGTGCCTCTGCAGGCTATCTAAGCCTTTCTTTCCCTCTCCTCATCTTCTCTCCATGTGTGAAAGGCTGTTATCTAGGCGTGCCAGGCCTAGCTCCGCCAGCTGAAGTCTTGCTGTTGGCAGGAATTAGCCCACAAGAACAGCATGTCCTCTGCCCCAAAGACTTGCACCGCAGTCGCACTACACAAAACTCCTTTTACAGTCCTCTACCAAACCTAAGTGACTCAGTCTTATTACCTCAGCACAGGTGTTTATAGGTACCTCGAGCAGCACAACAACTCTTTACTCCTGAAACAGACATTTTGATGCCAAACTAGATACCAAAGCTGTGAGCGTGTGAGCGCTCCATATATGATCTTGGATCTTAAAAATGTCTCACTTTTATGAGTGGCAGCTGCAGCTATGATCTAGCTGTCCCAGGCTAGCTGTGTCCTCAAATAAAATTTTCATGTTGTTCAAACCTCTGTGCATACAAATTACCCATGCAGCGTTCTCTATATCACAGTGTAGCACACGCTTACCCTTTCTGTGTTTCCTGTTGTTCAGTATTCACTATTGTTTCAGCTCAGTACACCAACAGCGTTTTTACCCTTATTAGTCTAACCCACCACCCGATGTGCTTCAGTTTATTTTGAGCATAATAACCTCACTGCTTTAAAGAACTAATGAAAAGTGAAAGTTGAACCCTTAGCTTCTATCTAAACAATTCGGCAAGGTGTGTGGTCTAGTCCAGCCGAATAAGCGTAGCCAAATTTTCATCAAGTCAAACCAAATATTTTTTATAGATGTTGCATGAAGCCTATGTTTTACTGGTAATATGATACAACACAAGTGCCAGTATCATTTTAAGCGTTGTTGTCCACCAGTGCACAGAAAATGTACGTCTGCTTATTAGTATCTGGTTCCTTGTGGGGTATTATCTGTTTTATTCCTTTATTTATTCATTTTGTCTTCCTTTTGTAGCGACTGGAGGAGATCATGAAGAGGACACGGAAGACAGATGGAAGTGACAAGGTACATTTAAAAAAAAAAAGAACTTTTTTTTTGTTTGTTTTTTTACAAATTGAAAAAATAAAACTTAGCTTTGCTGTAAAAGCGACTGAAATTCTCTCCCACTTTCACAGAAAGAGACCAAGTCCTCCCCACTCGCACATGTCAATGACAAACAGGCAGAGAGTAGCAAAGGTAAGCCAAGCATCAGTCTGGACTTCCCCTCAGCCTTCTACAAAACATCCCCGAGTGAAATCATTACCCACTACTAGCCTTTAATCTGCTTGAATTACAAAGGATAATTGCCTTAACTCATCTCCCATTAATGTGTTATCTAGGAAGGGATTTAAAACAAAGTGGACGTCTTCTGGCCAGCTGGTGTTCAGAATACTCTTAGACTTTTACTGCTTCGATTAAACTCAAAAGAACTCAATTTTGGTAGATTCTACTGGTGTCTATAAAATACTTTCCACTGATGTACACATAAATATCAGTCTACCTCTTTTACCTCTTCCATAGCTTGCACAAAACAAAGCACAGATATGTCATATGCTTGTTATCAGTTCCCCTGTGAGTAAGATTCACAGAGGGATGCACTTTTAAAAGGCCTATTATACATTTCCCCTCATATCCTGTACAGCTGGAGTTGCTCTTTGCAGAATAGGACCCATGTGGCCTTAGTTTGTTGTCCAATCCCTCGGACTGAGGAGAATTGAGTGGAAGAGTCAGCTTATGGCAACAGCCTGCAGCAGTCTACATTCATTAGAGAGACTTTGAATAAAACAATCATACATGTGTTGCTGCAAAGTTTTCAAACATAAACTACTCTCTCCCTACTTAACAATATCCTTACTAGCGAAATTTTAACATCACACGTTATAAATGAGTAAGATGGAAATGCAGTTTGTGTCAAATTTCACAAATTTCACATTGCAAGGAGACACTAGCGAGCCATTAAGTGGATTGAGACCTGGCAGAAATGCCTTTTAGTTCGTCATGTGTGAGTGTGAATGTCTTTGTTTTATGATATACATGAGGTCAGAAAACTGGACGTCTGCACCTCAATGTTCGAACCCAAATGTTTAAATGACCATTTGAAAATGATGACTAGAGTTTGGCATTTTATTGTGAACGTTTTGAAAAGGATGCAGATTTGGGGGTTGAGTACCCACTCGGGAGGTGTTTCTCCACAGCTATTAAGACTCTGAAGTTAGCAGCTGGTGTGCAATGTCAAAAGAAAATAAAAATGTCTTTTATTTACTTACCATTATGGTCCAGCCTGATCATTTTCTCTATGTTGCTTTACAGTGTTTTGGATATTTAGCAGCAAGATCAGAATTGCTTGCAAATATATTATTCTGTAGAGAGTCATGTAAGCTAGATAAAGCCTGGTCTTCACTGTTAGTTCTTTTTTCTGTATTTGGTTCTAACTGTTAGTTTGTCAGTGCTAATGTTTAGGGGTGGGGGAAAAAAATCGATACTGTGTAGTATCGTGATATTTTGTTTGCTAATAATGTATCGATACAGGGACAGCAGAAATCGATATTTTGTTACAAAAAAGGTTTTTGTGCTCTGACTTCAGAGCACGGTGATCCTTTTTCTGAGCAAGAATCCTGACATTCCTTCACTGTCCAAATGTGTTTAACTTTTTCTTTGGCAGCAATGAACATGACAGTTTACTTATTTTAATTTAAGACATGTTTTATTTTAATTAAGTTTAAAACTTTTTTATTTAATGTAAAATTATATTTTGTTTTAATTTACATTCAAATTCTTCAGTTGCTGAAGGGGCTGCATAGTTTTCATATTGCATAGTTCAGAATAGCTATAATTATACCAGATGGTTGCATTCAGTTAAGTTGGACTAGACTGTAATATAAACCGTTCAGTTTGTCAACAATAAAACTGACTGAAATGAGAGAAAGACTGAGTGTGAGACTTTGTTATTAGATAAAATGAATATTGATAAAGTTTACCTTTATGTACAGAATCTGAATATCGCAAAATATTTTTAAAAAATTGCAATAATATCGTATCGTGCGTTAAGTATCGTGATAATATCGTATCGTGGGATATATGGTGATTCCCACCTCTACTAATGTTTATATATTTTAATGGTGGTTGCAGCTGCAGCATGCATGTGTTTAACCAAATGCATTACACCTACGTTAATAAAATATCCTCCTATACCAGGAAAGTACCAGCTCAGTAATAGGAGCTAATAAGACGATAAAAAATAACTACTAACAGATACACTAGTCTCCTGTTACTGCGACGCAGAAAAAATGTGGGTACTATCACCAACAGTTGAAAAGCAAAAGAGAATCACCAAAAGTGCTGATTCTCCTTAAGAGAGTGAAAAGAGGATGCACACGTGTATGTGTGTTGAGGTTAGCCTGACACATCTCAGGGTTAACACACGGTGTGGGGTGGGATGTTTTATCTCTGTGGTCACACTTAATGACTGTATTGCTTTGTTCTCTCTAGCATCTGCTGACTACCAGCCAACGCCTGAGGTCAGCATTCCCAACAACAAAACAGAAAATGGACAGGCCGATGTCAAGGAAAGGTAAAACTAAAGCTTCTTTCGTTTCTTCTTTGTGTGCACATTGATGCAAGACCACCATGAACAGCACAAAACTTGTGCCAGGAGACCAAGCTGGGAGTTGACAACGAATCAAATCAGCAGGAGGTTCACGTTGCTGTAAACCTCAAGAGAAAACACAAGAAGCCCCATGATTCTGGCCAACAGTAAACAGTTATAACAGTGGGAGAATGATTTGGTATTTAAAAATGTTTACTCTTTGCATTTGATCATGCTTCTTGGGACCATTAAAAAAAAAAAAAAAAGAATCCTCCTATTGTGGTGGGATGACTCATTTGTTTTATGAGTCATTCGGACCCATCCTGACTAGAACCATACCATGATTTATGTCTTCCTCTCCAACAGCCTCTCAATCCAAGCAGTTAATGGGGTCCAGGCTACGAAGCTTGAAAACGGTCTTTCGACGAAAGAAGACACTGTCCACTTGGAAGACATCATCCATCTCACAAATCACGGCAACTCCACTAACGGAGCCCTGGACAAGTCTGAGACCAGCATGCCCACAGAGCCCATCCTTTCTTTTGAAAGCGAGGAGTCATTCATGAAAAAGGCAGGCCCAATGAAGCCTCAGCATGCTGCGGGTACGGAATTACAAACTGCTTTAATATACACAAATGACAACAGCGCAAACATTTGTAACACAAACATGGAAAAGACAATTTACTTAACACAATCTGAAATGATTCATGAAAATATAAATAGAATAGATGAAATGATGCAGGGGAAAAAGCTACAATAGCAATCGTTCCACCACTGTTGAAATGAGATATTGATGGAGTGTTTTCCACAACTGGCTGACCCGTGCTGAAAAGGTCTGGCTGTGCTTTGTAATGAGAGTCCACTTCTCTCCTTCTAGTTAACTTTTTAAGTCCTCGTTCAGGCTAGAGTTCAGGATTGTAAAATAAAAGATGAGGTTTTATTGACAGAGGTAAAAACTAAATCTAAATATATCTCCAATGAAAATTATGCAGATTCAGGCATGATTCATCTGCATCGACCTAGTTCCCATCACCCAATTTGAAAACTGCTGTACAAGGTACCATGGGGTTATTGTCCTTGGCACGGAGCAAGAGAACCTGAATGTGTACTTAATATAAGGTGCAAGTCATCACCCCGGTGAAAGCGAGTCCCCCCTGAGGAGAGGAAGGTGTGGCATGGAGAGAATACCTACACTCACAAGGGGGTGGAGACGGGATATAAAAGAAATAGTGTTGGGAAGGGTGCTGAGAAGGAGGGTATCTTTATACTGTTGACAGCTTTTATTCAAAGTGTCTCACTGACTTGGACCGGGACCCAGTGAGGAATTCCAAGAATGACAGAGGTGATGAGACCCTATCCACAAGTGCTTCACTGCCAGGGGTTAGAAACTGGACTCTGGAGTAATTAAGCTTCATATGACTCCTCATTCATCCTCTTCCCAGCAGCAACGTCAGCAGCACCCTGTCCTCCCCGTTGCTGCTAGATCCTAACTTTCACCTGTTATCCTGAAAGCAAGCCAGCGATCAGAAATACTATGTAAACCAAAAAGAACGATTACCTCTGTTTGCCCCTACTTTAATGAATATTTCACCACCTTTTTTTTAACTACTGCATACTTCTGGTAAGTGTGTAATTAAAAAGGGAACATTCTCACTTCTTATATGCACTCTTGTAAATCTGGATATGTGAGATGACTTTTAGTATGTCAGACTGATTTAATTTTACACAGTAGTTTCTCAGGAGACCGGTTTATTTTGAGGCATGCTTCCAGGGTTTATTTGAATGTTCATACTTGTTGAGGATATGGCCCTCATCGGTCCCACACGTGGCATTGTCAGTCAGATTGAGTTTTTATATGGTAGCCGCTGTTAACAGTAACATTCCCATCTCATTTCTTTGAGTCATGCGAGCTTTCTGTTTGCTGCATGTAAAGACGACAGTAAAGGTTTATGGGCCTTCCAACTGCAACATGTTTTGCATCCTTTTGCATTTATCATTGTCACCAGGTTGGAGGTTTGCAGACCTTGCCATTACGCACTTCAACAAGGTTGAATATATAGTTTAATTTGTCTGTTAGCATGTTCATTAAGCTTGTATGACTGCTGCTCCATCTGGCCTTTAACACTTTTCTCTCTGCCTCATTCACAGAGGTCCTGTGACATATTCCAGCGCTGAAGTGCTTGTTGCCTTAGGCCACTGACCTTTCCTAGTCCTGCCAAAGCTCGCATTGCGAGCCCTGTGACCTGTGCCAATCAAAAAAAAGCAAGCATACTTCCCTCCGAAGATAAAGTGGGTCACAGAAGAAGATGACGACAAAACAACTGACAGAACAGGATGAAAGGTGTTGCCGCATACGGCACCGTTGCTATCGTTCATCAAACTCTTTGCAGCACCGATTCCATGCACCTTGCTACTCAACAGTATCATCCTTTGTACATTATAGTACAGCTGAGTAATGATTACAGTATACAGAAAAAGAACTGTTTTCTTTGCTCTTTAGTTATTTAACTAAAAGAAAAAAATTAAGACTGGGTACAACTTTGTGTATAATGTAAATGAACTTTACGTATCGGGAAAAGGAAGGTTGGATCAGTGGATTAAAGCTGTTTGAAAGGGAGTCATTTCATGCTACTCTATCATGAGTAGATATGAATAAAACCCAGATACTGTACATCCTGGTTTGTACAAAACTACCTGTACCGGTTTTTGAAAAAGGTAAACTGAGAAATCAGAAGATCTGAAATTAAACGTCACAAAGAATGGCTTGTTACTTTGTGTAAACATACTGTTGGTTCATGTCTAAACCTCAGCTATGATTGATTGTATGCATAACTGGATGTAATAATAAATCTGCAACCTTTACAATTAAGAAACTGTAAGACATCAAAGGTCAAATGTCTGTAAACGGAGATCTCCTCCACTATTTAACAATTGAAGCCGTTTCCCTCCCCCACATGTGCAAGCATGACTTTTTTTTTTCTCATTTGAAATTCTGGCGCGTGTATATGCTATAGATATATTTTGATGTGCGATGTAAGGCCAGTGGGAATATCTCAAGTCTTATTAAAGACAAGTGGTCCAGTCTCTGTTCTAATCGTCCTTATGTCCCAACCGTTTAAGGATTTGATGCATTGTGAGATTATTCTTAGCCTGATTCAGATTAGTACACTTAAGAAATAGTTCATTTGTTATCAGTTGAATAGTTTTCTACTTTCATTTGCTTTGTTTACTTCAGACGCTTAACGGTGGCCCACTGTCACTGAAAGTAAAAAGAGAGCACATGTTAACCAAAGGAAAACAGACATCTAAGCGGGACCACAAGCCTTACAGTCTGTGCAGCTAATGTGCTAGGCGTGCAAGTTGGTTCAGCTGTCCATTTCTCTTTGGGTCTCCTTTTACAAAATCTCAACAGGGGGTACATGCCACTCTATCTGCTGGCCCTCTTTCACTATATTCTGCAGGCCTGTGGGAGATCTGGCACGCTGTGTTTGCAGCCCTGTAGGCAGCTGAAGTGCACACAAACACAATTTATGCCTCCTTCTACCACACGTGAAAACATGCCACGCTGATCATATAAATTATGTGACTATGTTCTAACCTTGGTAGAATGAGGGATTAGATTGTCAACTTGAAACTGTAACAGAGACCCCCAGTGGGCTACATAAGATGAAATCACTATGGTAAATACAGCCAAACTGTCACCAAAATGAAACCGAAAGCCAAAGACGGAAAACTCTGATTCATGATTAAGGAGTAGCTGATCAAGATTTAATGCAAGTAAAAAAATATCTATTTTTTTTCAAACTGTTTGATAAAACACCAAAGTTTCTTTGGGAAGTGCTTTTCTTACGGTTTCATTATTGCTACAAATTGCCTCTTAAGTCAAGCTAATGCTCGCAAACTTTCTTAAAGCAACAGTTTTTGCAGTTACAGCTGCGTCACTGCTTCAAACGTTTTTTTTTAAACGTGTTAAATAACACACATCTTTAGCTCGTATACGACACAGCTTTAATCTGCAAGACAGTTGACTTGCATGAGCAGGATGTTAACTTCAACCACATCTCCTCATTAGTTCACTTTGTTGTTCCTAAAGTTGTCCAAATGAGTCTGCTGCTAAAAGCTGTATTCATCGACCCCACAAGAGGGTGCAGCACCGCAGCATGGACTGCACATTTGACTTCTCTGTTTTCAGGCTTTAAACTTTATTACTGCAGTGTGTCAAAAGAGGAAACAAACTGAAATGTCCCCATTTTAAAAATCTCTATATTTTTTCCATTAATAATAATGATAAGATTTCTGCCATTTTGTGCAGCTGATCTGTCAGTCAATCCCTGGTAATGTGCCGTACTTCTCAGAGGGGACCTGAGGATTAGTGGGGACTATTTTTAGGGAGGTGTTGCAAAGCAGTGGACAGTTACAGGTTGATTAGTGCCAAGTTTCAAAATAAATTCTCACAGAATGAGGGGTGAAAAAAAAAAAAAAGGAACTGAAGGAGTTGAATATGTGGATGGGAAGGGTCATCCAAAAGCCAAGAGTGGTAAATGAATAAAGCAACTTTGTGCCAGTTGAGGTAGTCAAATTGTCCTGGAATAGCCAGGCCACATGTTAAATCCACCACCAACATATGGTGTTCAAACCTGTTTGAATGATGGGTGTATTATCTCCTCTGCAAGTGTGCTCAGGAGGTGGAGGTGTCACAATTCTGACGATATTTTTACTCTCTTGCGTGAATAACGCCTTGTTAAAGCTCATATTAACAGCAACGGCAAAAAGGAAACAACCAGCTTCAGTCACCTGAGGACTTTATAAGCATGGTGTCAAACGTTTAATGAAAGGTGCTCCATGTAGAGAATGCAGCCAGCCAAACACTGGACATACATTGACTGTTTTCCTGTCATAAATCTCTGCACTTGAGGACTGTATGGAATCTTGCAAATGTTTCTGAATGGCAAGTGTGCCTGCTCAACCTCTATTTCGCATAAGATGTGGGGGGTGGGAGGGGATCACACGATGGCGTCCCACTCCAGATAAGACCACCAATCGCAACCATCAAAGCTCATGTGCCTAACCTCTGTTTAGTGTTTATGCTCACCCCTATCTTTATCTGCTCAGCAACAAGCTCTCTCTGAGCTGCTCTCAGATGGCAGGCAGTATTAATGAAAGGCCACAGAATGGCCAGCACTCACAGTAAGCGTGCTTCTCAATCCCTGGCAGAACTGTGGGAGCAGAGCAACCTCTTAGCTATTCTGATTAGAGATGGCAAGTTTTAAGGGTAACCAGGCTCTAGACCTTCTACTCCCCCCACCCCTAGAGAACTGATAACATGGAACTTTCTGAGGTTGCAGAAAGGACCCAGGGACTTGGATCGCATCAGAGGTAGACTTTGAGGACAAGTAGCAGCTGAGCCTACATGGACAGCTGTTGGATCATTGTCACAAACTGTCGGATGGAAGCTCTTTGATGAGATTCTGACGTTTCATCAAACCTCAAGTATTTAAAGAGTCTGGCCTCTGTGTTGCACTCTGCATTTGTGTTATTTTGAGCTGAGGGCATGCAATGTTTCCCCTGAATAAAAGCATGCTCCGATAAAGTGGGAACAGATTTACTGGACAAGTAGGCATTAACTTTAAGAAAGCATCTGCTTTGTGGTCAACTTGTACTGAGAATCTTTTGTTAACAGCTAATAACAAAATGAAGGTTTGAATAACTGACTTGCTAACAGAAGGCTTTTATTGGCTTTTAATGTCAAGAATCTGTGCCAGAACAAATGCTTAACAATAAACTGTGCAGACTGTAAGTAGCAAACTCTGCTAATTGCAGACTTGATGAAGCTCCCATATTGTGAAGATGCACTTCAAATACTTAAAATAAACGCTGCCATGTTACGACCAGTAAAAATATGAGGTTGCTTACTCCTGCCATTCCTCCTAGTATACGTACAACTACGTGCCCCCTCAGACTGACCAGAGAGAATATCCAGTTTCCACATAAAAACTGAAAAACAAATAGCCGCCAAGCTAACTGCTTGCTTCTTCTGAGATGATTGCCCAGGGGAGAACATATGATGATGCTAACTATTTGAATTTATGTGAAAGGGGAAGTTTCCACAGGACTTTATGCAGTCCTAAGAAAAACTACACTACTTCCAATATAAATGAGGTCACGACTAGCAGCCAGGTGCTGCCAATCAAATACACTTGATTAACTGATCATCAGCAAGTGTAAGCACCTCTATAAACGCAGAGGTTAAGGAAGATTGCTGCTCTGGAGCATTCAGCTGTGTGCTTATAGAAAGCCAGACCTCCTAGGAGTGGATGTCCCAGCAAATTCACCCCAAAGGTCAAACCTCAGAGAAACTTAAAAAATACAAACCCCAAGAGCTACGTTTCAGATTTTACAGGAAGCGGTTAGCATGTTAAATATTAAAACTCACAATAGTACAATTAGAAAAAGACTGAAGAAGTGGCTGGAAGGGCTACAAAGAGAAAGCCTCTTCTCTCATAAAACAACATGGCAGCACGACTAAAGCTCGCAAAGTTGCATGTGAGCAAACCACAAGCACTTATTTACCATAATGTGCGTGGAAAGCTTTTAACCTGTCCCCCACAAGTGCGTACGCAACATGACACTCGGATTTATGAAACATACGCACCGGCCTATTTTGATCTTACCACACTGTAATCATTCTGAACCAGCAGGCTTGTGCAGTCTGCATCCTACCTGCATACTGCGTTTACTCGTTTACCTGCAGGTGAAACGGAGAAAGTGATGAATATAGCGTAGGTTACGTCATAGGAGTTCAGAGGAGTTTGTTTTGATCTCATACATGCGGTGTAGATTTAAAAATACCCCTAAGGCAAGAAATGAGGAGAAAGTTCAACTGAAGAAAGGCAAAAAAAAAAAAGGAAAAAATATATTTGTTTATCTTTTTATTACTACTTGTAGTAGTTGCAGTCTACATCTGCAACATCTACGTCTCACATCTGCATATGTGGCAGATATGCTGCACCCATATACTCCCTCAAGATCATTAACGCCTGCTTCTCAATTACTGCTGATAATGTTTCAGTCAAAGCCTTATGTGTCCTTGCACCAGAACTCTGGTCTAATCTAAGCTTAAAATACAAGCTGCCTTCAAGCTTTTGCACTTTCGTCATAAATGTGCTATGCAAATAAAATTTAATTAGCCAGGTCTTCATTTCTTAATATACATAGTCACACAGAGGTTTGCGCGTATGCACTGTTAACAAATGAGGGCCAATGTCCTCAAATGACAGACAATACCATAATGGAGATGTTTGGCCATAATGAAAAGCCATGTTTGGCAAAAAGCAAACACAACATATCAGCACAAACACCCCTCATATTAAGTGTCAAGCAATGATGGCAAGGAGTGATTATTTGGGCTTGTTTTGCAGATACAATTACTGAGCACATTGCTGTCACTGAGTCGGCCAAAGTATTCTAGAGTCAAATGTGAGACGATCTGTTAGAAAACTAAAGCTTGGCTGACATTTGGTCATACAACAGGATAATGGTCCCAAGAAAAGCAGCAATCTATAACAGAATGGCTAAAAAGGAAATGACTCAGGGTGCTATAATGGCGCAATGAAAGTTCAGAACTTAACCTCATTAAAATGCTTTAAGAGAACTGTGCAATGAACTGAAGCAACGCTCTATAGAAGAGCTGATCAAAATTCCTCCACAACAATGCAACAGACTTTTAAAGTCACACAGAAAACAAGCTATTGCTGCTAAAAGTGGTTCTGCGATTCTGGTTCTACATGCTCCTGGATTATGAGGTGTACTTTTTTAACATTGCACTAACCGGCACAAAAATGCAAAACTCACAGTGACACTACGGGAAAATTTAGGGGATTACCAGCATTACCAGCAAACGTCATCCTCTTGAGGCCACAAATGTCTCTACAGAGTGTCAGCCTACACTGCATCCACAGGGCTACTGTGGTGAGAGGCTAGAACAAGGCAGTAACAAATTACACCCCAGAGGTTTCACATTTAGATGGCACACAGGTTTGATTTCAAAGATCTGTTATCTCTTCATTTTCAAGCTGATAGTTTT